AATCAACCTAAGCAACTTTTTTTGACCCAGGGTTCTTAGTTTCCACAGAGTTATGATAATTTTGGAACCAGAGTTTGTCAGTAATAGAGATGCTTAGAGCACCCATGGCTGTGGCAAGGTGCCATCCTCAATATCAATCAATCAATCAATCAAGTTTATTCTCTATAAAGATTACAATGCGGGGTTTACATATACATATTAAGATTAATTCAAACTCTATATTGGTACAGATTATAGAGCATGTTGATATTAAGGCTAAGTAACTGTACTGCAGTTCGTAAATTAGCAATGTGAATGGTTTTGTCCTGGTACGATACATAGTTTCTATTGAAGCTCCTATATTGGAGTATCTCTGGCTTATGACTAGTTTAAGATTCATTAGGTAATAGTTTTATTACGTATTTCTATGTTTATAGTCAATTGGGTGAGTGTAAGTGTGAATTGTGGGGAATCACAGATACTGAGAGTAGGTCTAGGCATTTTTTTATGTGTGTATGATACAAGAGAATAGGTGGGGTGTGTCAGGGAGAGTGATGATTGTGTCTGCAGGTCTAGAGTTTTCAGGTAGGGTGTTCCAGATTTTAGGTCCTTTTATGTACATTGAATTTTTGTATAGGTTTAGCTGGACACGGGAAATGTCATAGAGATTTTTGTGTCTGGTGTTATGCCTGTGGGTCCTGTCACAACTATCAAGAAAGTGTTTTAGGTCAGAGAATTGGAATTTAAGGTTCTATAAATGTAGGTTGCAAAGTAGTAAGTGTGGATGTTCTGTACAGTGAGTGTGTTTAGATCTTTGAAGAGTGGGGGGGGGGTGTTGCCTGCAAGGATGATGCATTTTGAAACAGTGAGACAGGTCTCTTCATATAGAAAGTGGGGTCGTGAGACAAGTCTTACTTGGTGGTGAAGCAGGAAGAGAAGAGAGGTCTTACCTGGTTGTGAGGCAGGTCTTACTTGGTCGTAAAGCAGGAAGAGAAGAGAGGTCTTACCTGGTGGTGAGGCAAGTCTTACTTGGTCGTAAAGCAGGAAGAGAAGAGAGGTCTTACCTGGTGGTGAGGCAGGTCTTACCTGGTCTTGTGGTAGGAATGGGTGCGAGCAAGGGTGTTGTATGAAGTGCACTTCCTGGGCTGCTAGTATCTCCCTCTTCATCTTGGCCTCATAGCGGTGCAGTGTGAGACTGGCCGGGGAGATAAAAACTCGCTATATAATTGAGATAAGTCACGAACGACACTCAATGAATAAACAGAGGTATAGGTCGGTTCAAGTCTCCGTCCATTCTTCTATTAAATTCAAGCGGTGTAAGGCTGTAAATAGTACTATATACTTGCAAAAAAGGACACATGTATTTTTTCAGGACACATATTAAAGGAAGCGTATCGCCAGGAGTGGCTTCATAAAGCTACTCCTGGAGAAACACTATCTTTATTAAATGTCCTGAAGTGTACACGAGTGTGGTCACCCACTAGGCAGCCATGTTTACCCTTCATCTGCACAAGTAAGAACAGAGACTAACAGTTACCCACAAATGACGCGAATATTGTAAAATTTTCTAATGTATTATGTTTCAAAAATGTAATCCTGGACATTGAATTTTAAATTCCGTAATAATATAATTCATTAGTTAAAATAATATATTTAATGTAATAAAGTGTAATAATAAATGTAATAAAGTGTAATAAAGTATTCCCCCCTTATTAAATTGGTCACGTGGTGTATAATTTTTAGTGATGAGCTTCAGAAATTATCATTATTATTATGATGTCATTGTGGTTATTATTTTTATTATTCTTGTTTCTATTATTATTACTATTTTTACTGTTACTATCACTATTGATGTTAATATTGTGATTATTATTATTTATGTAACTAATACTGGAAAACATTTCCACCATTTTCCTCTCTGCAACTGTAAACATAGTCAGAGTGTACTTGATATATATGCAAGTCATCTGTCAATGATTTGCAAATATTCCCATTACTGGAAAAGCTGAAAATTAACTAAAGAAATGTGTTACAAGTGTGACCATTCTCGCATGTTGATTTTCTATTATTTGCAGTTCCAATACATTTTCACTAGAATTTTTGTTTATCTGTAATATAGAACATAAAGTTCAATTTTGTATATGTCTGATTATTTTTCTAGTATTAGAATTCATTGTAATACTTACTGTGAATATAAATAAGGTTTATTGAGGTGAGTTGGGCTCTTTTTTTTTATGTAGAAGTTTTGTGAAGAGTTTGTGTACACTGGTTGGAGTGCTGTTCAAATTCCTGGAGGTAAACATGTGGAAAAGTATGTGTAACCAAAGCCTCGCTCTCACACCTTTGTCGGCTTAAGGGGCACGTCAGTTCCCTGTTTTTTTAATAATATGTTATTTTACCCTATAATCTACCCTATCCATAATTACTATCGCATTTGCTTTGTCTGCTTTCGCAAGGTGAAGTCTACGAGCTTTTCTTAATTCATGATATATTTTAACAAACTTTTGAGGACACTTGTGTTGTAGATTATAGGGGAAAAATAAACATAATATTAGTAGACAGGGAAACTCGCACGCCTATTAAGCAGCCTTTTTCAACTACTCAAATCTATTAATCTGCTTGTGGAAAATACTGTATATATTTTCCAGAAAATCAGTATTTATATGTAAATAGATGACCATACTGTATTTAATAATATTTATGTCATAGAAAACGGAAAGCCTGCGTCTGCGCAGACAGTACTCGCCATCTTGGTTTTGAATTTTGTACAAACGTTGGTGTAATGGGAAGAATTTTTTGTGCTCTAGAGGTTAAAATTGTGTTGACACCTCTCAAATAGGAGGCGAAATTGGTGGATGTGCATTCCTGCATAACTTGAGATATCAGACGACTGGACAAGACAGCTCCAGGAACCTCAGATAAGCTCTCTAGATTTGTGTGTAATTCTGGCCAGCATTATTTTCATAGATTTAGTTAGAGTGAGGTTTTCTGAGTATGATACACATTAATCTCCAGTCAAACTGGTGAGTGATATTAAGATATATTTTCCTTCTGTTATGTAATTGTGTATATATATAACCATTTATTATTTTTAATATACAGTCCACAAATTTATATATTTACCAGTATTCCTGGTGTATGTATATTTCATTTAATTAATAGGTCCAGAGCAACTTGTGGTTATGACAGTGGTAGGTATCGAAGGGGGACATTTTTTGCGACCTAGGTGTCCCAAATTCCTACTTGTCTATGTAACATTGATAAATAATAATTATCTTTGTTATCATTTACTGTTATGTACATAATTAGTTACATTCAGATAAATGCAATTTTCCACACTGCTGCTAGCAAGGCTGTCCCGAAGAGATGTCTAAAATTAGTAGAAGTTTAAGGGTTGGCCCAACCAGAAAACCCTGAAAAGATGTCTAAGAGTTAGCAGACTCAACCAGATATACTGAGGAAAGGTTCTATAGTTACTTGAGACCTTGAAAACTCTAGTCTTGGAGTATCAAACCAGGCTTGTAATCTGGGATTCGGAAGTTCTCAGTGATAGCCTGAAGAAGGAATGCATCCATGCATTGAATCAAGGGAGGCAACCCAAGACAGTATGTTAAGGCAAGGAAGTTCCTTGGGAACTACATGGAGTGGGATTTCTAGTAAAAGTTAAGCATGTAATAATATTTTATATGTTTTGAGAGTGCAAATTTCTCTCTTTTTTTTGGTATCAAAATTTTAGATTATCTTGTAATGTATGTATGTTTATTAAATTGTAAGTTTTTTATCTGGGTATGTTATGCTTCCCCCTTGGAGCCATGTAAATGAGGTCCATTTGTCAGGATTTAAATTGATTTACATTTTTTTCTGTGTGGAGAGTCAAGCCTCTGATAGGGTGTCTGCTGTTCACTTTTCAGGCGGTACTACCCTATCAGGACCACTACCCTGGCCCGGTGGCCTGGTGGCTAAAGCTCCCGCTTCACACACGGAGGGCCTGGGTTCGATTCCCGGCGGGTGGAAACATTTCGACACGTTTCCTTACACCTGTTGTCCTGTTCACCTAGCAGCAAATAGGTACCTGGGTGTTAGTCGACTGGTGTGGGTCGCATCCTGGGGGACAAGATTAAGGACCCCAATGGAAATAAGTTAGACAGTCCTCGATGACGCACTGACTTTCTTGGGTTATCCTGGGTGGCTAACCCCCCGGGGTTAAAAATCCGAAAAGAAATCTTATTTTCTTTT